CGCGGACTATCACTCGCCTGTGCCCGCAGCCTGGTTCCCAGGATCCTGGCTACCGGCTTTCCAAAGAACGAGGCATACTCTGACGTTCACAATCTTCCCAATCAACCTCAGCTTGGAGAGTAGTCTTGTCCCAGTTCGTCTTGCCAGTGTCCCACGGCGTTCTTGTCTTGAAAACTGCTCCAATTTACGTAGAAAGGCGCAATACCGATATTCCTGTGTTGATGATGAGATATGACACAATCTCTCACCATGGACCCTTTTCTACCTCCATGCTCTCACTAAGTTCCTTGCGTGACTTGCTTGTGTCCAGGATAGTTGTACAATGCACGCTCCACAACCAGGCATGTAACGGAAAGATTTCAAAATAATGACCCGAGCGTTGATTGGCCCTCTTTTCAAACCCCAACAAAGAGAAATGCATGCAATTGGCTGGTCTGGTTTACAGGTCACCGCAGGAATAATGATATACAAAGAGTTGTGAAATGTCCCGCTTGTCTATTATGTAAAAGTTGCACGCACACTAATAAAAAACATAGGCTATAAAATAGTCTGGAATGTTATCATCAACACATAATTTGCAGTTTACCCGTGTAATGTTTTCAACTTCGTGTTCTTAAAGTATAAAATTAAATATAACCAAGGAAGTTAAACCTCTCTTATATAAAACAAACAAACAAGGTAAATAAGACATGGGCGCCGTCTCGTCTCTGACCATGACACCACAATACACATCTGACAACAATGTACAAGTAAACCGTGCATCTTTTGCCTCTTCCAAAAAATTATTTTTACACTAAAGTGGGCTGATATTTGAAAAAACACCAGAGCGGTCCCTCTCATTACCAAAGAAAACGACCATGTTTCCAAAGGTGAAATATGTCAAGGTCGAAGGTTCCCAATAGACTAGTTTGGTAAAATTCTGATCAGTAATTGTGTTGTTGTTTTTGCCCACTGTAGATTCAATATGGTGCCGGTATAATGAGGCGTTAATATATGCGGGGAGACGATGGACCACACAAAGAAATCTACTCATTGTTCATAGCAAGGGTTATAGTTACAAATATATACAGGGATACACTTAGACCCCATTCATACCAAGGACGTTATATCATAACCTAGTTGAAGCTCCATGTTCATATAAATCCTTAGTTCATACCAAGCTTTATATATCCGTCTAGATTCTTTAGCAGAGTTTATATAAGCCTGGTGTGGCCCAAAAGTCAACCAGACTCTGGCGAGGGCGAGTTTATAGCAGACATCGGCCCCCAAACAACATTTATTCTATTCACCAACTTTTAATGTAACGCTGATTTCCTCTACCATCCAATCTAGATGTCTTGTCTTTGTGTTGCGTTGCCTGTTACCTACAACGTTTTTAGATAGTAATTCGGTTCATGGAACGAACTCATGTTTAGGTAGATTTCGGGAGTGAAAATAATATTGTTTTCTAACCAGCATTTTGCCCGTTCTTCTTACCGGCTTTGAAAACACATGTGCACCTCTCAACTTACGCATTTGCGAAACGATCTACATGTATGGTGACCCCTTATTGTTTGGCAGTACTTGCGACGTGTGCAGGCCCGTATATTCCCGTACACACGACTAATTACCAGGTGTCCGGGCATGTCCGGAGGTATCACAGACCCGCACACGCCGTTGCCGACATTTCCTGCACACACCCGGACACACCCGGGCACGCCAAGTTTCACGGGACATGTACAGGTCCGGAAACGTCCGGATATTCCGATTTTTGAGCAGTGAGGTAAGTGGAGGGGGTACTACAGGGCTGCGGCGACAACTGATGACCATATCTTTGGTCTTTTTTGCATTGGCACTCATGCAGAAAGAGTTTGCCCAGGCGTCTACCTTGTCCAGTGCCACCTGCATTAGACCCGGCAAGGAGGCCATCAAAAACTCAGAGTTCGTGAGATCATCAGCATATTTAACTGGAGTGATGCTCGGTGGGATTCCCTGATCTAAACTGTTCATGGCAATAATGAAGAGAGTTGGAGAGAGTTGGAGAGAGAATCCCCCCTTGATCGACATCAGAAAGAAACAACATGGCCATTAATAAGGTTGAAGTGTCAAGTTGTTCACCATAACTTTTTCCCCGAGAGCGAAATGTCAGAAATAATTATGTATTAGGTGCATTAATATGGTTGTATACTCACAACACATCAACAGCATACCCCCTAGGATAGAACTGATAAAGGAGGTGATCCCGGCACTCTCCTGGAAAACCTCCCTGAACTCCGCGTAGAACACGCCGAAAGCCTTGGTAGAACCGACCACTACAACATGTATGAAGAAAGTGCCGACCACCACCATCCAGCCCCACCCGCCATTTGGCGGCTTTTCAGCAAACTGCCTCTTTGCCATTCCTCTTGTTATGTCGTGCAGTCCCTGTGTTGAAAAACGATACGTGACTACATATCAAGGATAGGAGCGACATAAATTATGGGATTCATGCAAAACTACCTAAGCTTAAACATGCAAAAGCAATTTAGAATCTTACTGTGTCTAGGCTAGGCCAGGACGTAATACCCCTGGACGTAATACACCAGAAGATGTAGGGCAGCGATTTTATAGCAGGTCTCTGTCAACTTTGTTGGGGATGGGGATGCATGCGATGAAGCCTGCCATCTCTGATTGCCTGGTTGGTATAAGTTCATGGTGCGGTAGTGTGCCTAACACAAACAGCACAAACCAGGACGGCGGATGGAATTTTCAAACATAGTTTGACATTAATATTCATGTCCATGTAGTAGGTCGACAGCAATGACCAATCTACATTCGAATTCGTTTTGCACAGCTTACAGGGGCTGCTGTAAACTTAGTCATACTAGTCCTACAAGTAGGCTGAGCCAAAGGGTAATGGCACCGTGGCTAACTTACTTTATTGTAGACAAAGGCGAGAAAAGTATGTATAGTATGTTTATCTGTTTATATGTAACCGACACTGTTAACTGTTACCTGTTACTAATGGTTTATTTTCTAGTCGTGAAGGCTAGCCCTTTATAATATCCTCTGGCTAGTTTGGCAGTTCTGGCTGTATAATTTATTATATATATATGTGTTTATACAGTCAAAAAATCAAAAGTATACTCACAGTTAACCTCAGACGCAGTTGTCTGTGATGTCCACTCAAAAGGTCTATCTCCAAGACGACGAACTTTCGGCGACCTGACCTCTCCAATCGTTTGTGTGCATCGATACCGCAAGGCACATCCCTTTCGAATTCTGTCACATAGACCCAAACCGGTCCCAGGGTGCCGGGCAGACTCGGGTCGTCCACTGTATGCAGGTGTGTGAGTTACCCACCCACGTGTACCTTAAAAAAGTGTATGCAATATGTATTTTGGATATCAGTGGTTGGCCGTGTACGACTTCGAGAGTCAAGTGTTTTGAGGCACCTGTTCGAACAGGAAGAGCCTTCAGAACTATCTACCTAGTACGTAACCAACATTGCCGTATCCGGTTCTGCTGAGCTCGCAAATCTTGAATGCCTCAGGGCTTAGTGATTCCATAACACCATATAAAACGTCTGCAGGCGATATTCTTGTTGTTCCTGTTATATTTTCACTGACATGTGTTCTTTAAACAGCTTTTACAAGCTCTGATGAGTATACAACAGGTAACAATAACTTGTTGTTTCCTCATTCCAACCAATTAATTCGACTTAAGTTTTACATCTTGTATTGCTAGACACTTGCATATTCTGATAAGTTAAAAACCCCATTTCTTTGTACTTACAGTTTTTGACAGTATACACTGATGGGTCTCACACCTAGCTTTAGGGGTATAAAACTGTGTCCATCTCTGTATAGCCCTTGGGCCACACAGTAGACAGTAGTGTAAAGCTTTCGGAGTATAATGCTGTGTCCATCTCTGTTGCTAGAAGGGCCACAGTACTTGCAAACATTAACGCTACAGTGGGAGGCTAGCCACTGACATTGAGTTTTATTTATAGATATAAATGGATAAAACCTGTAGCAAATTTACAAAAGTCTGCTTTTTCTAGCGTCTTGAATTGCGATACTGTTATGAAAACATACGCGAGCGTCCCATTCATCCTTGCTGCGAAATGCTTCGAATCTATCGTTAAAAGTTAACAGTTACATAATTGTTTCCAGAAAAGTGTCTCATACACAGGCATACAGGGGAGGTCATCTACATTTCTCGAAAAGTCGGGTTCGTTTGGCCGACATTACTACTGGTATCCCGCGGCATGTGGCTAAGAACAACTACTCCGTCGCACTGGTCTGGAAGTTGACCGGTACCGGGGCCAAGTGTCCTTCTGGTTGTTGAGCACGGGTTGAGGAGAAGCACGAGCACTGACGCGAAAATAAAGATGGCAGCCGCGAAGAAAGACCAGTCGTAGTTTCCAGTCGCATCATACAGCCAACCTGGGTAATGGACAAAATTGTCGCATATTAGGTATTTGAAATATATATATATATAGGGAAACGCTACTAGTGAGTAACAAGGATGAACCACTTGTTTCTTACCTGCAACGGGAGGTCCAAGCAGCCAGGCAGCGTCCTGGAAGACAAAGGCCCACCCAAGCCCACCGGAAATGCGGGACACTCCGCTGTATTTTCGTACCAAAACTGCAATGAGTGGGAAGAAAATGCCCGAAAAAAATCCATAGAACACCATGCACACCACAAGGCCTGTGTATGTTCTCCCGAACGGTATGGCGATGTTAGATATGGCTAGTCCAGTGATTCCAATCATGTAATAGTAAACTTTACTGATCTTTCTTCTGTCCGACAGCCAACCGTTTAACAGTCTGGAGACGGCCTCTGAAATTCCCATGATTGACAGGAGAAAAGCGGCTGGTGTCTTTTCTACTCCAACCTTTTGAGCATGGGCTACAAGGTGTACAAAAATTATTGAGTTGCCCAGCGAGGTTAGGAACGAGGACACACTGTAAATGACGAAAGAGCGGTGTTTTAGTAAGGTCACGTCAAACGGTTGCAGTATCTTCTGACAAAAAGAAACAAGAGTTGTCTTTTTCCTATCTTCACTACTCTGTGCTTCAATGTTGTCTTGATTTTTGCCACGATCTTCCTTCAAGTGTATTGGCCTCATCAGGGCACCACAAACACAGCCATTGAACAGTAAACCCCCGACGATCAAGAGGGCCCCTCTCCACCCGAACTCATCAATAAGAAACTGGAAGAGTGGAGGAAGAGCAAAGATGCCAACCCCAGTGCCACAAACTGCGATCCCATTGGCTGTGGCGTGCCGCTTGTCGAAGTAGCGTCCAATCATAGCCAGGCTTGGTGAGTACATCAGACATAGACCCAATCCTGAAGAAGAAATCGTTGGGACTTAGGTGTGGAATTGTGTTACTGAGTGACGTTAAAATATAAAAACCAATGCAGTCTCGCTCATCAGAGAGAACACCTATAGCCATTTTCCATGCGGTGGTAATGCTTTCCAACATTTGAAGAAGAAACAGAAGAAGAAAAGGGACTACACCGACCTGTGAGGATCCCCACACTGAAGAACAGGTGTGTCATCGTCTGTGCGAAGAAGCTGACGACAAGCCCCACGGCAGAAATGACGCCCCCTGCGATGATCACAGTACGGCAGCTGGTCAGGTTGCTCAGGGCACCGGCAAAGGGAGCTGGAAGATGACACATCATCGTCTACCATTAGTTGTAAGTTAACTAGGAGGATTACTGACAGCACTTAAATCATTGTCCCGATGCACAGCCCTTCGGCAACCGCAATTAATTCTATAAACATGAATAAAACGGTTTCATTGATATCATCTTTGGTCATTATTATCTTCACCTATCAATGATCACCTTGATCAATATCATAGAGCTATATTGAACATCATTGTCACTTACAACAAGACACGAGCGTCAGGTTATCAACCATAACCTCGCCCGGAGTAAAATAATTAGGTATAAACTGCATTAGACTGAATACGGTTGTATACTCACAACACATCAACAGAACACCCCCGAGAATAGAACTGATGAAGGACGTCATCCCGGCGCTCTCCTGGAAAACTTCCCTGAACTCTGCGTAGAACACTCCGAAAGACTTGGCAGAACCGACCACTACAACATGTATGAAGAAAGTGCCGACCACCACCATCCATCCCCGGCATCCCCCATCTGGCGGCTTTTCAGCGAACTGCGCTTTTGCCATTCTTTTAGCTACGTTTCACCGTCCCTGTGCTGAAAAACAACGCATGACCAAAGATTAAGGATAGGAGCAACATAGATTATAGGATTTATGCAAGTTTGTAAAACCACCCGAAATGTTGCTGTGTCTAGGCCAACGATTTTATTTGTCTCTGTTGGTGACTTCAATATTATTATTTCACCCCAAGGGAGTTAAGTAAGTTGATTGGGCTGGTCTCTTTGTCTGATATTGTCTATGTGTCATTATGCGTGTGTTGTCATATACATCATAAGGACTACTATTTCTTGTCTGTGGGACTGGGAGAGTCACCAAGCAATATGGGTAGAGGTAAAATCTGCCATCTCTGATTGCCTTGTCAGGTATATTAAACCAAAGGGTGTTGGTGCTGCTAGTGTCCCAGGGGAGCGAGGGCATGCAGACAACACAAACCAGGACGGCGTGTGGAATTTGTGAACTTCGTATGACATCAACATGCATGTCATTGAACCATGTCGTTAGCAAGGACAAATCTACGTTCATAGCTATAGGACTGATGGTGAAGCTGTAAATGTAGTAATGAGGTAGTCCTACACCAAATACATGTATATAGGTTGAGTCAAAGGTTAGGTCAAGAAAGGCACCGCAGCTGTCTTACCTTTTCTGCAGACAAAGACGAGAAAAATGTGCTCACAGTCAGTCTTTAATAGTGACGCAGTCGTCTATGCTCCACTCAAGAGGTCCCCGACCCAAGACAGTGAACTTTCGGCGACCTGTTCAGTCGTGTGTGTGCATCCCGCAAGGCACATACGTACACCCCTCCCTTTGTGTCACGCAAACCGGTTCCAGGTTGCCGGTCAGAGGTCACATTGTGTACGATATGTACATCTTTACATGTACATCTATGTACATCTACGTAGAAGTAAAAAGGGAAGTGCACTTCTGGTAGGATTGTGTAACCCCGACAGGTACTGTTACACATATCGGGGAATTCAGTGGTTAACGTGCCGCGACTTCAAGAGTCAGTGTTTTAAAGCACCTGTACAAACAGGCAAGAATACATTCGGCAGGACAACTTCCTACGCTACGTAACACAATTCTTGCCGTATCCGGTTTTGCTGAGTTCGGACTTCTTGAATGCCCCTAGGGCCTTGGTAATTCCATAACACCAAACAGTGTTCCCCCAAGACATTCTACATGCACCGTATAGCAAATTGTGAATGAATCTTACGTAACTTATTTAGGCCTAGGAAAATAAATGTTGTATAGCAGACAACATAATGCATTCTCAGTAGGATCGGACCGATACTTACACTTATATAGGGGTAGTATAGGCATGTGTTTATTTCATAAAGCAAGCAGACAAGCAAACAGATATTACATATTTTGATCCTACCATTTGCGAGAACAAAAACGAATTCTCTTAGCTAGGTAAAACACAAAGTGTTCTTACATTATAAAAGCAGATTTTACTGACAGTTGCTTTTTATTATGACGTATGCAGTTTTGATACTAAACTCAATACATCATCCCCGATTATCAATTCCATCTACGACAAAAAGCACTATAATTGTCCCTGTTATATTTTCAGTGAAATTAGTCCTTTGAACAGCTTTCACTAGCTTTGATGATCTCATCATGAGTATATAAAGGCTAAGAATACTGTAACTTGTTTTTCCTTATTCTGATCATTATATAACAACAAAAGTGACTTAAATTCAAAGTATCTTGCAATGCCTTAAGTCTTCTTCTACTGATAGACGCCTGTATAATCTTCCGGCAGTGGTGATAAAAATCAAACCCCATTCCTTTGTATTTGCTACCACTTTGACGTTTAAACGGATCCGTCTCACACCTTCAGGGTATAGGTCTGTGTCCATCTCTGCCTATAGCGCTTGGGCCACACAGTAGTGTAAACAGCGTATACCTATCATGCCTGGAAACCAGGGTTGCTTTGGCCTGAGTCACTCCTACCAGTTTCTGTACCCAGATTTCTGAAGGCGACTATCTTGATTCCGTCCTGATTGGGCTCACTGGTGTCAGAATCGAGCGAGGATGACCCTCTTGTTGTTGAACAGGGAATGAGGAAAAGCACGACCACAGACAGGAAGATAAAGATGCCAGCCGCGTAGAAAGACATGTCGTAGTTGTCCGTTGCGTCGTAGAGCCAACCTGGCAGTGAATGAACGGAAAAATAGTACATATTTATTATACCTTGTTTTATACATGTACATCTACATACCTCTTTGCTGAAAACGTATCACTTCAACTATCCTGTAACCGACGCTAAAGAGTATAAATGAAGAGAAATAGACAGGTGATAGATAACACATAGTACCTGCAATAGGTGGCCCAAGTAAGAAGGCAGCTCCCTCGAAGACGAGCGCCCATCCCAGTCCACTGGAAATCCTGGAAACGCTGCTGTATATCTTCACCATTACAGCTTTTAGTGCATTTAAGGGTCCCGAAAAAAATCCGTACAGCACCATGCACACCACAAGGCCCGTGTAGGTTCTCCCGAACGGTATGGTGATGTTCGTTATGGCCAGTCCGGTATTTCCAATCATGTAATAGTAGACCTTACTGATGTGTATCCTGTCCGACAGCCACCCGTGTAACGGCCTGGACACCACTTCTGAGATTCCCATAATTGACAGTAAAAAAACGGCTGAAGTCTTCTCCACTCCAATGTTTTGAGCATGGGCTACAAGATGCACAAAAATCATAGAGTTACCCAGCGAGGTTCCAAATAACGACACACAGTAAACAAGAAAAGGGCGGTGTTTCAGCAAGATGACATCAAACGTTTCCATGATCTTCTGACCAATAGAAACGAGAGTTGTCATTTTTTTATCTTCACTACTCTGTGCGTCGTTGTCGACTTGTTCTTTACTATGATCTTCCTCCTCAAGGTGTGTGGGCCTCATCAAGGCACCACAAACACAGCCATTGAGCAGTAAACCTCCTACGATCAAGAGGGCCCCCCCTCCACCCGAACTCGTCAATAAGAAACTGGAAGAGTGGAGGGAGGGCAAAGATGCCGACCCCAGTGCCACAGACTGCGATCCCATTGGCTGTGGCGTGTCGCTTTTCGAAGTATCGTCCAATCATGGCAAGGCTTGGTGAGTACATCAGGCTTATACCCAATCCTGAGGAACAAATTGTTTGGAGTTAAGAGTGAGATTGTTTTACTGAGAGACGTCCTGAATAAAATCATTGCAGTCTCGCTCATCAGAGAGAATATCCATATAGATACATATTACCATTTTCCATGCAGTAGGCATCACTGAGAGACAAACACTGACCTGTAAGGATCCCCACACTGAAGAACAAGTGTATCATCGTCTGTGCGAAGAAGCTGACGACAAGCCCACAGGCAGAAATGACGCCCCCTGCGATGATCACAGTACGGCAGCTGGTCAGGTTGCTCAGAGCACCGGCAAAGGGAGCTGGAAGATGACACATCATCGCCATCTTTCATTGATTTTATCTAGAAACACTACTGAGATCACTTGTCCAGCTATGCATTGTTATGTAAAACCTCTCAAACTGATGCATCGGCATCAGTATGTAATTCTATAAACACAAATAAATACGATATTCATTGATGTCATGTCATATTTGGTCATCACTTCAATGATCACCTTGATATCAACATCATATGGAAACATCAATGTCGTCAACAGGACACAAGCGTCATGTTATCGACCATACAAATTCCAACATGCCATAATCATGTATAAGCTGCATTAGTAAGGTTGTATACTCACAACACATCAACATGACAGCCCCGAGGATAGAACTGGTGAAGGAGGTGATCCCGGCACTCTCTTGGAAAACCTCCCGGAACTCTGTGTAGAACACTCCGAAGGACAAGGCAAAACCGACCTGTACAACATGTATGAAGAAAGTGCCGACCACCACCATCCATCCCCATCCACCATCTGGCGGCTTTCCAGCGAACTGCGACGTTGCCATTCTTTTACTGTGTTGGGCAGTCCCTACAGTGTTGAAAAACAATAACGCGACTATAGATGATGGGTGCAACATAGATTATAGGCACTTCACTTCAAACCACCTGAGCTTAAACATGAACGCATCCTATATCATTGTGTCTAAGTTAGCAATTTTTGGTGATTACGACTTACGTTGAATCCTCAGCGCTGATTACGGACGAACACAGACAGGAAAATACAGATGGCAGCGACGACGAAAGACATGTCGTAGATTCCAGTTGTATCATACAACCAACCTGGGTGATGGACGAAATCCTGAAAACGCTGCACAACAGACTTACGATTGTCTTAATCTCTTGAGTGTTAACTCTTCAAGGTCAATGTCCTGCGTCTTATTCCGAAGGACTAGTCCCTGAGTCGTCCTAGTCCTGGCATGGAACGCGCGCAACTGTCTCAAGATCCGGGTCACCAGATCTCCAGCTATTTCGTAGCCATCTTTAAACATTTGGTTACGATCTTGTCTTTCCACTCTATAAATTAAACGTTAACCAAGAATTATACCAGGTGACCGCTTACATGACCTTTTCTGGCTGAGTCTACGAAGACCCCATAAGTCATAACCTTTGTGACACAGGATGGCGGATTTGGAGTATTACCTTTTTGTTGGTTGGTAACCATCTTGTCTTTCAAATCTATAAAATATCAAGACTGACACCAGGTGACCTCTTACCTGAGCTGACCTGGCCATATAGGCTCGCTAGGCGTCACCAATTAATTTTCTGGCTGATAAGGCCCCATAAGTCATAACCATTTGTGACATAGGACGGCAGATTTGTGACATGACTTTTTGTTGGCTGTAAATGTGTTAAGTGGTGTAATGTTTGTATCTGACATTGTTAAAAGACACCGACAACACTGGCACGGGTTAAAGGAGACAATGAACAGTAGAAAAGCTTTGAAAAGCTCTTACGTCGAAAAATGGTTGACGTCGTTATAGAACTCTTATATACTCTTCAATTTGTTAGAAATAAACACAAAAAGCATGGTTACAAAAAATTAATAATACAGTTTTATTGCACAAGCATTCATGATTATGTACTTGCTTGATACTGACAAAAACACATTTCGTATATTTGTTTTGCTGTAATGCTTAACTTAACATTTCTTTGTATTTGACTGACATTAACAAGTCAATGATTTTTGGATGACAAGATGTCTCCTCTTTCTGACATATTCCTTGTTAGTGGAGGTTAGAATTGCAAGTGGATCATCAATTGTTCATTAATATATATATATATATTATATTATATTGACTTAAAGGTATCTGCACTGTCTACAGATTTACGTTTCAATCTATAGCTACTGTTAGACACCTGCATATTCTTCCATTGGTACGAGGGGTGTTCAAAAAGTTCTCGGCCTCACCTAGAAAATAAAGGTCAAACTCCTATTCTTTGGTATAGCTGTATACTATGACGTCTTACATCACTGCACACAAAAATTCAAATTTTTGTATTCATTAATGAGCACGTGACGCCCCGTGAAAATGGGGTGGGTGAGGGCAAATCACAAAATGGCCGCAAAAGAAGCGTGTGCTGTGATCAAGTGTATCGATAAAAAGGGATGTCTCCTAAGGACATCCATGAAGACATGGTCAAGACACTTGGTGATGACTCCCCTTCTTATTTAGATATAAAGAACGGGGTTACTAGCTACAAGCGCGGCAAGGACAGCACAAAAGATGAACATATGTCAGGATGCCACAAATCAGCACCACGGACAATCCAGTTGAGGCCATCCATCACACGGTAGTGAATGACAGATGTGAGACTGTCCAACATGTAGCAGGTTCTTTGGCCTGTGTTATGACTCAGTTCACAATATTTTGTCGAACATCCTGGGGATGAACAAACTGTCTGCATGATGGGTGCCTCGAATGTTTTTTGAACATCAGAACTTAAACAGGCTGGACATTTCAAGGAACGAATTCAGTCCAATTCATGCAGTTTCCTCAAAACATTTCTCACTCAAGATGAGCTGGGTTCACCACTTTCACCCCGAATCAAAACAACAGAGCAAACAATGGATGAAGAATTTTCCCCGTCCCCCAAAGAAGTTTTAGCGAGTTTCGTCCGTTGACAGGGTTTTTGCCTCTGTTTTCTGGGACAGTAAGGAAGTAATCATGATTGACTATATGCGAAGGGGTTAAAGCATCAATGGGGAGTACTATAAAACAGAATTACGACATTTGAGGGCAACGATCAAAGAGAAAAGGAGAGGAAAGCTCCGAGCTGGCGTGATGAAAATGCACCTGTCCACACAACACAAGGGTCAGCGACAGCAGCAAACGAATTTGGGTTTGCAGTCTAACCCCACCCGTCCAATTCACCTGACCTAGCACCCTTGGACTTATACCTGTTTCCTAAACTCAAGTTCCACTTACGTGGTCAACGTTTTGATGGTAATGATGACGTCATCTATGCGGTATAGGCCTATCTGGGGGGTCCAGATGCAACCTTCTTCCACAAGGGGAAAATAAAGCTGGAACATCACCGGACCAAGTGCATTGCAGTTAGAGAGGACTATATAAAAAAATAGCGTAAGAATAATTTTACTGCCCTGACGTTTTCTAGGTGAGGCCGAGAACTTTTTGAACACCCCTCGTAATAAGATCAAACCTCCATCTATTTGTACAAGACTCACTACCACTTTGACGGTAAAAAGGATCCGCCTCACACACTTAAGGGTATAGAGAGGTGCCCATCTCTGCCTATAGCCCTTGGGCCGCACAGAAGTACAAACGCTACGGCTGGGAGCTAGCCCACTAGCATGTTACACCGAAAACCACCGACAATATAACCATCATTCCTCAAAACCAGGGTTGCTTTGGCCTGATGAGTCACTCTTACCAGTTTCTGTACCCAAATTTCTGAAGGCAACTATCTTAATTCCGTCCTGATTGGGCTCACTGGTGGCAGAACCGATCGAGGATGACCCTCTTGGTGTTGAACAGGGAATGAGGAAAAGCACGACCGCAGACAGGAAGATAAAGATGCCAGCAGCGTAGAAAGACATGTCGTAGTTGCCCGTTGCGTCATAGAGCCAACCTGGCAGTGGGTACAAGGCAAAATAGTCGAACTTGATAGTACCGTGTTCTAGTAGACATGTAAAAACTGTTTTGCTAAAGGCGTATCACTTCACCTATCTTGTAACTAATGCTTGAGAGTGTAAATGAAGAGAAATATTAGACAAGTGATAACCCTTGCGTACCTGCAATAGGTGGCCCGAGTAGGAAGGCGGCCCCCTCGAATACGAGCGCCCACCCTAGCCCACTGGAAATCCTGGAAATGCTGCTGTATATCCTCACCATCACAGCAAGGAGTGCGTTGAAACTGCCCGAGAAAAATCCGTACAGCACCATGCACACCACAAGGCCCGTGTAGGTTCTTCCGAACGGTATGGCGATGTTAAGTATGGCCAGTCCGATATTGCCAACCATGTAATAGTACAGCTTACTGATGTGTACCCTGTCCGACAGCCACCCGTGTAACGGCCTTGACACCGCCTCTGAGATTCCCAAGATTGACAGTAGAAAAGCGGCTGGCGTCTTCTCCATTCCAACGTGTTGAGCATGGGCTACAAGGTGCACAAATATCATGGAGCTGCCCAGCGAGGTTCCGAATAGCGACACACAGTAAACAAGGAAAGGGCGGTGTTTCAGTAAGGTCACGTCAAACGCTTCCATGACTTTCTCACAGAAATGAAAAATCCTTTTCTTTTGTTCTTGATCAGTACTACCCTGGGGTTCGATGTCGACTTCTTCCTCCTTGCAATCCTCTTTGAGATGTATGGGTCTCATCATGGCACCACAGACGCAGCCGTTCAATGGTATGCCGGCCACAATCAGTAAAGCCCCTCTCCACCCGAACTCGTCTACAAGGAACTGATAGAGTGGAGCAAATGCGAAAGTGCCAATCCCCGATCCACATACGCCGACCCCATTGGCTGTGGCGTGCCGCCTGCCAAAGTAGCGTCCAATTATAGCCATGCTTGGAGAGTGCATCAGGGAGAGGCCAAATCCTAAGAACATAACAATAAAAGGTCGTTAAATGTAGGCATGTATGAAACAGATGTAGCAGTAAGCGATTCTCTAGTAAGATAAATGAAATTTTTCATTCCTTTCATGCCTCCACCTGTTTCTCATGATATACTGCATTTCCAAGTTATCGAAAAAAAAACACCGAGGCAGACAACCACTGACCTGTGAGGACCCCCACACTGAAGAACAGGTGAGTCATCGTCCGTGCGAAGAAGCTGACGACAAGCCCCACGGCAGAAATGACGCCCCCTGTGATGATCACAGTACGGCAGCTGGTCAGGTTGCTCAGAGCACCGGCAAACACAGCTGAAAGATTATCATTGTCAGGCTCTAAAAATCTGATTATTATCAGCGTCAAATTATCTTTCAAATGTTTATCGGACGTGTAGTTATGGTTTTTCGTGAGGGCTGCAATCAACCTCAAATTTTAATCAACGATCTTCAATACATCTCCAGATACTCACAACACATCAACAGCATACCCCCTAGGATAGAACTGATGAAGGACGTCATCCCGGCACTCTCCTGGAAAACTTCCCTGAACTCTGCGTAGAACACTCCGAAGGACTTCAAGGTCCCAACCACCAGCATATTGACGAAGAACGTGCTGGCCACCACTACCCAACCCCACCCGCCGTCTGGCGGCCTGTCAACGGATCGCACTTTTGGCATTTTCGTGTCTGTGTGCCCCCAGGCACAGAAAGGTCCCAGAAAAGGTTTTCAACTGCCTGTTGTATGCATCCCTGTTGCCTTTTGGGAGCTAGAGGGAAAACGAATATACAGAATTTTAGCAGTGAGAAATTCAAACTACTAGTAAGTGAATAAAACATGACGTCCACAAAAACTCGAAATATCTCACGGAGGTATGAGACGTAAGGTTGGTGCTTTATAACGTCCTTAGGTGGAAAATTGCTAATGGATTCAGTCTGAAATTAATAGCAAACTAGAGGTCGGAGATCTCATGTCTTCGTCAGATGTACGTTGTTCTACAGAAATGAACATGTTTATTCTTTACGTTTTAATAACCAATGTAGTCTAAAGTAAAAGAATCTCTGTACTCCCTTTTTTAAGATACGGACACCCTGAAAGAGTTTGCCAGATTTTACAGGCGCACAGGTCTCCAGTGGACGTCATCCATAACAATTACTTCGTGTGGCCGTATGAAATAACGTGATACATGTCCAACCTTTCCTCCTCCAGCTGAAGTTATAATGAACAATCCCTCATTAAACGTTATTTGATCCCATCCCATTATGGGGTTCACAATGCAGCTGTCTCCAAGCAGACGTTGGTCATTATTTTTAAACACAAAAGGTGCGCTGCAGTGACGTAGGGACCCCCACGAAGCCCATTTACAAACTTAAAATTGGTCTCAACAATAGTAACCTGTCTACCAAAAATGATACATATCAATTTATACATATACAAAAGTTATTTTGCTCACAAGCCACAAACACAAAAGGTGCACTAACATGCCGTACGAACCCCCCACAAAGCCCAGAATTTGCACTCAACATTGGCAACAACGGTAATCTGCCTGCCAAAAATCATGGACGTCGAATTATGCCTTCCATGGTTATTCTGCTAAATCCGCAGTCACCCACAATGCGGCGAGACAATTCCATAGTCTTTCTGAATAAGACAACAAGTTTACACTAGTGTTCCCTGGCCGGCCAAATTTGTCTACGAAAGCGCCTATACTTTGCAAGGGCGCATCGGGCGCCAGGCGCCGAAGCGCAAACAATAAAACGGGTCCGGGAATATGCACCCCCGAGAAATCTGGATTTTTTAAACCTTCCATAACGCATTATCCTACATTTTGCGACGCAAAGTAACGCCGACCTCTTGACGTTTCACTGTTAGTACGCAAGGCATACTACTGGAAAACGCAACTTAAGAAAAGGGGAAAACACATACCCTATAGTTGAGGACTCCACACCGAGAAATCCAAGGAAACTCCACCATTAAAGACATACTGTTGAGTCTGACCTGTAACCTAGCTCATCGATAGCATACATAACACTATAGCACAAATATCCTATGCAAACGAGGCTTACTGCCTATAACCAACCAATAGAAGAAAAAAGGGACAGAAAACTGAATACCAAATAGTATACAAATAACATGGACAGCTATATAGCTGACAGCTGTTCTGGCCACAAGGTCGATGACCTACATAAAAGACAGAGCACAACCAATACAGATGTCCTACTCTAATTGGCCAGAAGGTCGTTGACCTACATACAAGACAACACCAGGACAACCAAAAATAAGAACAATATAACTTCTTTCCACATTCCTATAAACAAAGAGTTCAAACTTACACCACAAAATCTATATTACAATACCTTTACACCATACAAAATCTAGACTCATGCCACATCGGTACTTGAACTACAAACAAACAAAGAAACAAACACAAAAGATCTATTACGGGGACATAACGACCTCCACGACTCTCATCTTTGAACTCAATCTTGGAGACCACCACAGTAACATGCCTATCAAATTTCATTAACTTCCATCCACACATACAAAAGTTATCCTGCTCACAAGAAAAATTAACAAAATGCCCCCTGCAGTCACAACGAAACCCCCCACGAAGCTCAGTAACGAACTTAACCTTGGTCCCAACAATAGTAAGCACCACACCAAGAATTATAATCAACATTTTACAAATACTTGAGTTATTTTGCTAACAAGCCACAAACACAAAAGGTCCACCTACGTGACGCAAGGACCCCCCACGAAGCCGAAACTTGTACTTGACTTTGACCTCAACAATGGTAATCTGCCTGCCAAAATCATGGACGTCGAATCATGCCTTCCAGAGTTATATCGCAAAATCAGCAGTTCCCCACACTCCGGCGAGACAATTTCATAGTCCTTCTGACGAAGACAAAAAGTCCAGAAATACATTATTTTGGAGTTGTTCATACCAAATATGTCACCGGATATCTGTGG